CAGTCCTTCAGGAACCCTGATGTCTGTAGACAAAAGCTCCTTTCTTTATGGCTCTCAGGGCTGGACTACCTGACCAGCTCAGGCCTGGGGGTTATATCCCTCAAGACTGGCCTTCTTCTGGTCAGGTGGGTCTCCAATCAGCCCCCCTCATGACCTGCAAGCTGTGTCTCAGGCTGCTTGCCCTCTTAAAGGGACAGGCAAACCAGCCACTGTGTTACAGTAGAGTTCCAGGTGAATGACCCTGGATATTATACTCCTTGGTATTCAGTCCCGTGATGATGTGGTTTGTATTCATGTTGGGGCATAACAGGCATTTGGATCCTTTGTAAGGTCTGGTGTCTCAGCGAGGATGGGAGTTATGTCTGTTGCTTTTATTGCTATCAGTGGATGACATTAATTAAGCAAATCTTACAATCAAAAATTTGACGGATATGGAGACTATGCAACAACTTTTGGAAGAAATGAGGAGCTTACTGGATATCTGTTTGATAAACTGGCTTTATTCACTGTCAGAATACTTTACAATGATCCTGTGAGCGATAATTTGTCTGCTGCTTAGGCACATAAAATGGAGGCAAATGTCACACAAGAATTCTGCAAGACTTCCTCCGGACCATGACTCCTTCAAACAGCACTGCCTCCAAGCACACTTGCAAGTCTATGAATGGAGAAACTCACAAGATGCACAAACTCTTGATCCAACAAATTTTGGGTGGATGTCAATTCTGGATGTGTTGGAACCTGTGACGCATACTAAAACTGAACTGCCAGATGGAATGAAATTGCCTCGAGACAACAAAAATGGACATTCAGATGAACCAATTAAAGCTACTGTTCTAGAGTCATCTGAGGATAGTAATACAGAAAAAGAATACTTAAGAGTATCCAGTGTACACCATATCACAGATTTGACTTCAAATTTCAGTTGAAGTGTTTTTACTTAAATGTGTTCCATAACACATCTGCCCAGGGCAGGAGGCTGGATTTGATGATCTACTAAGGTCCCTTCCGACCCTAAACATCTATGACATCTACAATCATTTGTACCTTTGTTATTAATATTATTAAATGAGACTTTGAAGAAGTAAATGGTAAACTTTCCACCTGAAACAAGTACTCTTATTGTGTTGCCATACTGGTCAATATTGATGGTTTTTGCATTTAAAGACTTAGAGCTCCAAAACAATGGGTCATCGCTCATCAAAAGAAAAAGAAAGTTTATTGGTTATCACAATACCTATTTAAAGTCATTTAGAAAGTCAAAAATCAACCTCATAGGTACTGAGATTTTGATATTTATTCATAGTGTTAGTCATGGCCACCGTTTTTAAAGATGGCAGCCAAGCACCAAAATTAGAAAAGTGACTCCCCAGGCTAAATTTCATCCTACACAACTCAAAAATGATTTCCAGTAATAAAAGGTCCCCTAAAAATCACATGGTCTATATATAACATTATAATGTGTTTCAGTTTTAGGTTTCCATCTAAGACGCGTGGCCTAATTTGTGAAAATGCTTAGTACTAGCAGTTGCAATTGAAGGTAATGAGCTGGGCTTAAGTGTGCGAAGTGTTATTTAATACAAAGTACTCAGAAAAATCAGACACTAGACATCTCCAATTTGGCACCCAGAGTTAATGAATACTTTATCTTCCATTCAATTCCCCATCTGCAAAATGTGAATGAAAACTTATTGTAGCAGAGGTTTTGTGAATTTTAACATTCATTACTATTTAAGAAGCACTCAGATACTATTGTGAAAAGCCTCTCAGAAATCCTAGCAGGAAATGAAAAGTTCTGTCTCCACAGCAAAGTTTGAATACTATACAAGGTCAAGGGCTATATGTTAAGCAATGAGGATAAAACAAAAACATCTCATGGCTGTTCATTAACTGAGCACAGGCTATCTACTGTACTAAATAAAGAAGGGATATTATGGGGGAAAAAATCATGCAACTATATGTAAGCACACAATAAGGAGATTCAACTAAGGCTGCACGGGCAACCTTAATTCTAGCATTTTCTGAATCTTAAGCATTTTACTTTACAATCTTAATAATCTTATCTTAATTTAGTGTTTTGCATTCAATATGTGGGTAAATATATTTTTACATATATTCAACAAGCCCTTCTAGGGTGGCTGGGGGCATTATTTTTTTGGTTACAAAGACAAAGGGGAAAACCTGGCTACAGCACATTCATTTGAATTTACTATACAATAGAGAAATTAATTTCCTTTCAATATAGGACAGCAGCATTATACCACTAAAGGTGGTACATAGATTTATACAGCCTACAAAACCAGTGGGCTTTTCTTCCCTTGTCAAATGGAATTTGTATGCATGAATGTGATGTTATCTTCATTGTAAGATAACAATGGTAGGAGATGAAAAGGGTTTGACAGCTGTGACCTGAGAGTGCAAACACTGACAGAACAGAACAAGCAGAAGAAAATCACAATCAGCTAGCAGAAACCACAGTATAAAAGGTGTATCTATTAACTTGCAGGTCCAAATCCCAGACAAAACTGTGTAAATATTAGATGTCTTGTTATTCTGACTAAAATGTGTTCTCCTGTTTTTGTACCGGGACCTGGAGTCCAAGGCATTACAGAATGAAAATGCAAGTGTTGAAACACCAGTGTCTTTCTACATTAGAAATACAGTTTCCTAACAGGGAACAAAGCCTGCTGCCTCTGCCAAGGTATTTTGGAACACACTAAATAATAACTGCAATCCTACAGGAATACTTATGTCCAATATTTTTTATTGTTCATTTCTTTTAAGCATTAATCCAGAAAAATAATTATTGGGATAAGCTTATTTTTATATGCTTCACATTCTTTCACTGAAATCTATATTCTGGCCAGCAAGTGTCCAGCAAAACCGAAAGCTGTAAGACAGAAGTGTCATTCTTGGAGGGGGAGGGTTCCCCCCCAAAACAGCAATATTTACCTCTTGTCCTACTCTAGCTCTTCTGAATAAGTTTTATGTTTACAACATTTAAGAACCAAAGAAGAAAATAACATTATGACAGTAAAAAAACCTGAACAAACAAATGCAATGAAAAATGCAACAAGACCACTAAAACTATGGCTTATAAATGCAGAGAAGAAATTGTTCTGGGTAAACTATTTAAGTTATTTTTTTTTAAATCAAGGTCTTTCCTCTTGTCAGTCACCATTCATTTACATGTCATTACTTCTCTTTATTTAAACATGTCAGATTACCATATTGTCAAATGATGCATCCTAGTTCACTCGAAAAAAATCACTGGGTTTTATTACAACTCGTAATACAACTTAATAGTGTGAGAAGACAGTGAAAAAATATGAAATTTATGTTTTGTTCCACAAGGGAAAACACATAAATCTTAAACCAAGTTACCCAATCCATTAACATTACTTGCGAACATGTACAGGACAATACCATAACTGACTGGGGTTACCTGGCCACAGTCCCAAGCATCATTATTCATTATTGTGTGTGTTGGGTGGGGAGTGGGGGGAGGAGAGGAGAGACAAAAGCATCTAATACCATCTAGTCATAGAGCTGCCCTACTACATTTCTGGTATGGGGTGTTTCAAAGGTGACAGAGTATGGGGCGGGGGGGCACATATTCACAGGCTTGATTCAGCCTGTAGGACTTGTTGTTGTTACTTGCCATAGCCCTGCTCCAGACACATCCTGCAAGGCTTCTCCCAAGCCAGACCACAGTGCTTCCTGTAGGCCACTGGGGCTTTTAGTTGCCTCTGGGGAAGAGGGGTGCAAGTGGCAGTGGCATTAACTCCCTGGGTTCCATGGCTGCACTGAAAAAGCAGCCCCAGCCAATACAGGGATTAACATTGCGGCTGCTTATAGTCATCTTGTCTATGGGAGGCCCAGCAGTCTGTGCCTGGCCTGCAGGAAGCCTCATGGTTCAGATTCAGCCCATGGGACCAAGAGTGTTTGACACCCATGTTCTGCAGCATAAAATTTGGAAGATGTCTTCCCACTTAAGTGATTGACCCATTTCTGCCCATCCACTTACCCATTGGTCTCTCTGATGAGCAGCATTCAAGTTAATTAACCAGCACCCCATTGCTTCCATGGTTATTTCTGTAGCATATGGCACTTTCAGTTCCTACCTGTCTGAGTGAACCCTGATTTGTATCCATTGGCTGATCCACCCTCCGGGGTTGTGGATGGTGACACCGAAGAATTTGGTTTAGCAGAATGGCTAGCAGCAGATGATTGCCTGCTTCTACATTCTGGAAGTGAAGGAGCTACAGTACATATTAACAATGCTTAGCTTCCAGCAGGATGATATACAAGGTTAACAAATACTGACAAGCACATACAACAAATAGCAACATTGAAATAAAACATATTTTTCAGGGTTTAAGTTCTTAAATATGAAAACTTTTCCTAGAGCAGAGTGCCAAATAAATACAACTCAAATGCCATAAGGCACTAAGAGGCCTTGACTCTCAGCTTCTAGTAGAGCTGGAGGTGTGGGGCACCTGAGCATTTTATCCTTAATTGGATAGCATTATATAAATTATCATTTTTCTAACCGTATGTTCTTTAGAATACAAATGGTGCTGACATCAAAACGTCTGGTTGGATTCTATACACAACCTTCTGCAACATTCTGCCCTATCTGGGATCTGTATAGATCAGGGTTGGCCAACTTGCCACATGTGGCAAGGGCAGCCTGTGTGGCATGCAGCAAATCAGGGAGGGGACAAGCAGCACAGCAACATATAGAGCAGGAAACAGAAAGCAGATAGGAGATCTCAGATCAGACAAGGTTAGGGAGCACAAAGCAGAACAGAAGGTTGGGTAGAGGAACAGTTTCACAGTAGCGCTCAGGGAGGGTGTGGGACTAATTTGTGACACCTGCCAAAAAGGTTAGCCCCCACTGGTCTTGATAATCAGACGGGGGAAAAGTGAGTTTTAAATTCAACTTCTAACTTAATTTTGAAGAAAGTGGAAAAATCATTTTTTCCCTTTTTGTTTATTGTGGGATATAGCTATAGGAAGGGTTTGCATACAGGTGCTTCAAAAATAAATAGTCATTATCCAATCAACATGTAGCCTTACATCATACATTAGATTACCCCTGACAGAATTTAGTTCATCACATATCTTACCCCAAATAGTATATTTATGCAAATTTGTCTGAAATTTTAAATGCAAAATAGTCAAGAAATTCAAATGAATTATTCCAATAGCAACTTTAACTCCTCCCATGCATGTATGCATTGTGATAGAATCAACATTTGTATAATCACAGAATTTGGAATAAATGGAATAAAACAAAATTATGTGTGCACACAGATAAAGACTTTGTTTAGAATATTTTAAATGAGATTACTATGCAGAATAACAGTCTATTGTGCAATTTCTAAAGGTGTGCCAAATTGTCTACTGTTGTTTTCCTTAAATTATAAAGGGCTTAGTCTGTCTGTGCGTCTGTAATGCTTTTGGCCAACTGTGCATGTGCTGCCAAGAGGGCAGGCCAAGATTGGCTGCGCAGGCCCGGGCTGCATGGGCCCAAGTTTGAGTCGCTGCCAGGGATGTTTGTGGTGGTGGCAAACATGCCCCGGCTGCTTGAGCAGTGGGGCTTCCCCACACCTCCCTGCCTGAGGGCGAAGGGCGGGGGGGTCATGGTGGCAGTGCCTCAACGCTGCCCATCCCCGACACCCCCCAGAACAGCCTACAGGGAAGGAAATGCGGCGGGGGGAGGCAAAACGGGGTCATTGTGGTGGCACTTGTCAGG